TAGTGATATAGATTCATATTAATATATATATACTATCTGTAGTTGCCCCCTTTTCTTTCTTTCCTTTTCGCTCTCTCTCTTTGTATCTGAAGTTTCTCTCTCTCTTTGTATCTCTCAAGTTTTCCGGTGCTCAGTCCAAATCCTACATTTTTAGGGAAATTAAATTTCTTACAGATGTTCAAGGTATCCATTTAAAATGATGATTATGCAACAGAATGCACCAATTTGCATCAATGAAGGTCTGTCTGGGCCCTTTAAGTAATTTTCAAAGTCAAATTATTTTCAGCTAATAAAACACCCGTGCACGTAAACGGAACGTGACATCTCTGTCAAGTAATTAACAAAACAGTAACATTTTGAGCACAGTGACTTTTCATTTGCTTATAAAGACTTTGCAATCCACGCACCTGTTTAACATATAACGGGTAAAACAGTGCTTTTTGGTGTTTAGGAGAGTGTCAGGACCACTTCCACAAAGAAATTTAACTTAGACCGAAATCTGGCCGTAATTATAATGAACCGAAATTTTGGCCCACTCTGATTCGGGATAAATGTGTGATTACATAAAACATATCTAAAACGTAATGGCACCGGTATTTGTAGAAGAAGTAGTAGTAATAGTAGTAGCAGTAGCAGTGGTAGGTTTAGTCAGTGAATTCTACATGTATCAGGGAATATCTACGATATAATTCCCTGGTTTAGTAAAGTGAGGCGATACGCAATATAGGGATGGGGGAAGGCGCAGAAATCTATCTCCATTATCATATACTGTAGCTAGACAGGGGGCAGAATCTCCAGTTCCCACTATAAAATTATATGTACTAGTAATGGAAGTATGCTTTCAAATTTGTAGTCGTGAACATCAGATTAAATACTAAAAAAAGTAATTATGCTGTTTAAAGAAGGGAAGACGTACTGTGAGTCACATGGGGTAGTGAGAGCCAACGCCTGCTTATCAATTTACTCTTAATTAAGATGTCTGTTTTATTGCCGATAAAAAGTCCAATTAGACGTAATTCAGACCCATTAGTCAGTATAATAGTTGAAAATTCACTGCAGTTTATTTACTATGTGGGCATTTCTACATGTAGAAATGTAAAGTAGAATTTGCTTGCTAAGGCCATACAAAATTGATAAGTTGATAGACGGGCGACGACTCTTCGCGGCGTCTTTTTAATGTTAGGCTATATACTGAGTATTCTGAAATGTTTCATTAGGCTACATCACGCAGTTTTCGTACTTGTATTTATGTAGGCCCTATCGATCTATCACATCAGGAGTAGGCCTACTAATTAATGGACTATGCTGGGCATCACGTCAATAACAGGTAGGTACGGTCGCTGTGCTAAGATGCAATTTTAACCTCACTGAAGTTTCGGTATACCAAAATATCATTATTCTTTGAATTCAACTTTTACCGATAATATAGTAGCAGCTTAAGGTGAAGTTAGTCAAATGCTATTCATTAAATAAATATTATTCAAATAAATAAATAAATAAATAAATAAATAAAGACATGTTATGATAAATTACGAACTAACTTTGGTCCAAATACAAATGTCTTCATGTAGGTGCTAAACAAATGTGCTAGGTGAGATTTCTTTTCGAGTCCCGCAGTTTCGGTTGTTAGTTGATTCCCACTTTACCGCTATCAGCCATTAGAGCTCACTTAGACAGTGTTAGGTTGAGTTGCTAGGGCTAAGTACTAAGTAAGTGCTACTCATTTATAAGAAGTTTAAACTTACGGAAGATACTGTTTGAATATATGTATTCTAGAACAAAAGGAAAGGAGCAACCTGAGCCTTTCTTTCCAAGCTCCGCATTATACCTTTGGCTCTGGAAAGTTTATTTTGGTTTTGAACTTTTGTAACTCACATGTAGACTGACGTGTATTTACACGCCTGAGACAATGCTTGAGTATCATTTCAATTTTTTCTTATTATTTAAAGGTTTGGGGGCTTACGTGTATGTACACGATTGAGACAACGCTTGAGTACAATTTCAAAATTTTTCTTGTTATTTAAAGGTTTGAATTGTAACATTTCTTTCTTCCTTGTCAATTTCGTCTGTTGCTGCTGGTGGTTCAAGATATAAGTGTGCTTGTAAGTGTGTGCGATGGGGGGGGGGGTAGCAAAGGGTGGTGGTTGAAACCAGATAAAGTAGAGTGCGCGCACACACACACACACACACACACACACACACACACACGAAGTAATGGTAACTTGGTTAAGTTACAAAATGAAGCATCCATTTTATGTGGTTTCATGCCATTATCATGTTCTTACCCCCCCCCCCCCACGTCCAAAAACAAACAAACAAAAATACAAAGTAAACAGTATGTTAAATAACACATACTTCTTAATGGAGTAACAGTTTATCAATTTTTTATTACAGGTGCTTAATGCAGTTAAATATTAAAACCAGAAAATTGGAAAGAAATTGGAAGAAATTGGAAAATAGTGCAATAACGTTGTTCAAGCCATAATGGCAACGGGACAAGCCTCTCAGCTGATAATACCAATACCTCCCAACTGGATCAACATTGGCAAAGAACTAGAAAGATGGAATAGCCTCAAATTTGAACTCCAGCAAGACTCCAATGAAAAGTTGGCCAAACTTCTCATGGATGTGTAAGTAGTTTATCCAGCTGTTAGCATGAGTTTCAGTGAGAATGTAAGCAAATTTCCAGATTTTCTTATTTCCACAAACACACAGGTTTGAGTGGAAAGGTCAAGGAAAGTAGAGGGTTATTTTTCCTATTTTTCAGAAAGCAGAGTTCTGTATTGTACACTTTCTTTGCATTACATGCTATTTTATGGGTAAAAAAAGGGGGGGGGATAGTCGTAAGTCGATGTTTATGTAAGAGTTAACTTGTACCAATACATTCATGTGTTTCATTTAATTTGTCGGATACACTATTAAAGTAAAATAAACAGCATTTAGTTAAGTAATGTTGGATTTGTGGGATATAAGCAACATATAAAAATAGAAAATTAACAGGATTAAAAGGTGATACCAGTAGATGCCAATGTGAACAGACTTATGAGTCTACTGAAGGAACAAATTATACCACCTGTGCATTTAAATGCTCAATCAGTTGTGTTTAGATATAAAAGTTGTTTTTATAGATGAGATTGTGACTTATTTTTGTTTATCTTTTCTATCTCTTTTCTTTAAAGGTATAACAATTACAAACCACTTACAACACTATGCAAGAAAATGGAAGGAACATCATCAGATAGTGATGAGGGAGATGTGGATGATGATGATGATGATGACCTTGAGTAAGTGATACTTAAGTTCTGTCTAAAAAAAAATTTTAGAAGGGGGTTGGAATAATTTAAAATTTATTAAAGGACAAACCCTTTAATGTACTCTCACAGAAATTTCCCATTGGAAAATGATCCAAAATTCCATAGTGTCTTACAAGACATATGCATTTCTATAGGATGTCCAATAGAATTCTAATGGAGCCCTGATGCATTTCTGTAAGGTCCAATAGAAGTCACTTAGGGCGCATTCAGAACATTTGACTTACTAGTCTGAGGGTCAAATATGGCTGACCCACGGGCACTTGAATACCTACCTACGGGAAATCAATTCAGTGCCTATTAGTGTATTTGATGGCAAGTTTTTAAGTGGGTCGCCTTATTTGACCCTTGGAGTAGTTAATCCACTGTTCTGAATGTGGCCATAGAGTCCTGAAGGCTTCCTAGAGACTCCCAAATCACATATAGACTCCTATCAGCAGATTGAAAAAATCAAACTCAGCAACTACATATTTTTTTTATCACTAACAATTTTTGTTAAGTGGAAACAGCATTTATGGTCACGTTTTTTTGCTCAGCAGTTCTCTTAGAAATGTAGCTTAGGGTAATTTTATCTGTGGTTTTGTTTCCAGGATCTCCACCAAAGAGCCACATGAAGCAGATCATGACCTTTCCAGCAGTCTTAATACACCTGACACCAGGTGGCAGCACAAGACATACTATTTAAAGCCCATTACTCTTAATTCAGTTGGCACAAGCAAGCAGCTTGTGTCTTTTAGCAAACGCAAACAAATTGAGTCAAATAAAGAGGCAGATAAACAGCGCATTTTCTCTACCGGAGAGCGGTCACATCTGAATAAAAACTTAAGGAATGCAGATCGTTCTGACGCTAGAGGGCAGCTCAGATCTACTCTGCAAGATGTGGTTGCTCAAGACGCACCTGATCACACTGACAATAGGGAAACTGACATTTCTTTGGATCATGACTATTTGAATAACCTTCCTAACCAAGGAGAAATGGTTAAACCAAATATGGGTGAAGTCTCTGAGGTCGATGTGATAAAAAATGAACCCTGCATGACTGATAGCGATAGTAATGACAGCAAAGTTAGGAGTGAATCAGAGGGCGAAAGCGATGTGAAAAGCGAGGAGAGTATTGTCAAGAATGAAGAGGCAACCATCTACATCTGTGAGATTTGTTGTGCTAACTTCACATCTGAAGATGTTTTCTCTAAACATCAATTAACCCATGTGAAAGACATGAGTTCATGTAGGTACTGCGACGAGACATTCCCAAACAAAAGAATTCGGGACGCCCATGAAAGAACCCATAGTGCTTACACCCCCAATATGTGTCAGTACTGTGGTAGAATGTATCGTCAAAGAGCAGAATGTGTGAAACACGAAGTATTAGTGCACTCGGCTGAAAAACCTTATTACTGTAAATGTTGCAATAAGGGGTTTTTGTCCGAAAGTGGGGCAAGGTACCACAAGAAGATGCTTCAGAACAAGGTGAAGAAACCACACCTCTGCCAGTTTTGTTCCAGAAGGTTCTCAGTCAAAGCAGAGCTTGAGATGCACGAGAGGAGACACACTGGAGAAAAACCATACACGTGTCGCATCTGCGGTAAAACCTTCAGCAGGAAAGACTCCGTCCTGTTCCACGTGCGATCTCACACGGGAGAGAGACCGCACCAGTGCCGATTTTGTGAGAAAGCCTTCAAACGGCACGTTTCGCGTCTGAAACATGAAAAGGCCATGCACAAGAAGAAGCCCAAGCACCAGTGCCCGCACTGTCCCGAGGGTTTCAAATCCAAAAAAGACCTCCGCAACCATGAGGTTTTGTCACACAACTGAAAGAGATTTCCACTCTTGCAGTTTGTGCAAGGAAGGAAGCACACCACAGTGGGTTTTTCAATGCCGGTATATTTAAAGGAATAACAACTTTTCACGTTAGATTTAAAAGTCTACAATAAATACATTGTAAACACCACACAGAAATAGACAAAAAAGAACTGAATGTCGGAATAAATTCCTAAACCATTGGAGTGAGGCGGAATAACGGCAAACGGCACTTATCAGAGAAAGCACTACAATTGTATTTTCTTTTTGTTGTGCTTATAATAATAATAATAATACTTTTTTGAAGTAAGATAATTTCGGCCATTATAAATTACAGGTAAGAGCAGTTTAAGCAGTGGAGTTCGCACATTTAACAAGTGACAGTTATTGTTTAAAAGTAAGTACCAGTTTGTTTGGGAATTTTCAAAATAAATCGAAGAGAAAAGCGTGGGGATGCCCCCAAATATGAAAACATATAATACGTTATTCCTGTGTCATATGATGAGGTAGTTTTATCAGTCTTACAGAGAAGTCCTTTAGATCAATCTTCTGTGCCCTGATTGACATTTTATATATAAACCGAAACCGAGGCCAGTTTCCCCACCCCTGTCTTTTGCTCCAACGTCTTTTTCTACACCCCAGTCTTCTCGGCCACGTGCCAGAATCCAACCATCCCCTACCTGCTCGTGCTCCACATCGGGCACCTGCCTCAATAAGGAGTCGTGCATCCCCTGTGGCCCCCGTTCCACCACCTCCAGCATTTCGGACATCATCCCCCGCCCCTCCGTCACCACCCACCCCCNTAATTTCATTCCTATCCACTGATGTTAAGAAAGATAGAAAAGTTGAAGTGGGTACAAATTACCATCAATACAATAAGATCCGATATCACAATGCGCTTATATCTGATACTTAACCTGATCAGTATCTACATAATTGCCCACTATTCATATATAAACTGTAAACAAAATGTTTACATTCTACATTATTCTGGGTACATGGCACATTAACAAAGATATCAGTTTAAAACTTGTAGAGAAAATGAATATACACGCCTGCTTAATTTCCAAAAACCCTGTTCTAATAGCATATAATTCTCCCCAGCATTCTCTAACAGCTGATCACATCTGCCGCGGGCGTGACAAAATGTTAAAATACACCATGTGTTGCATATAGGACCACAGTAATAAACTTGGTGGTAGCTCGTCAACACTCCGAGATGGATTGATGTTGTCCCCTTGTGGAAGGGAGCTACACCATAAACGAAACCGGTAAATTGAAGTACACTTACCTAGGCACACTGTGTGAATCTTGGTCTGAATTTATACTAATGAGAGTTGTGAGAAAACTGCGATCTTACCTCATGCTTTTTGTCACCTCAGCCGTACGAGGACAGTCTTGCAAGTGGTTGTCACGTGACCTGCTACAGCTGTTTTGGAAAAGATGTGCTGGGCGGGTGTGACAGGAGCACCTACCACAATTCGTGTCTTCGCTCTTCATTATTAGTCGTTTTAAACCAAGGTACCTAATTTCTTCCCCATTTTAAGTCTTATTCACTCAATCAACTGTTCACTTGTGAAATAATTCATTGACCTAGACCTTTTTTACTATTACTAGCATTTTGAATATAAAATAGGGGCAGGGACCTAAAGCTCAAGCAGTAGATCAAGACTCTGATAAATTTTTCAATGTAAGGTAAACTGACAGGTCCAGCCACGCAAAATCATGTTCCTTATGCTTTATTACATGCAGAATCACCAGTCATTCTCTAAATTCTTTACTGTCACAGTATAAGCAATTAATGTTAGAAGTGACCATCTGTAAATAAGGTCCACTAAACATTGATCTAGCATGTCTCTTACTTTCAGTTAAAAGATTTGGTATAAATAAATATAATACACAACAGTTCTCAACTAAATTATTATCCAATGCAGAGGTCTTTTTCAGTGGACTTACACAATACACAACAGTTCTCAACTAAATTATTATCCAATGCAAAGGTCTTTTTCAGTGGACTTACACAGGGCACTGAAATGCGAAATACTTGTACATGAAGGTTAACCTGATACTTTCATTATCAGCATATACAGCATTTTTGCCTTGGCAACATTAGTGTAATAACAGGATCAGTAAGACAAATGCCATGATGATCTCCCATTCTTTACTATATCTTTTAAATATATTTACAAAAAATATTTTAGCAGATACACTGTTATATCAGATAGATCAATAAGAGCACGGAAATCGGGTCTGATGCTATGATAATCCTTTTTGTCTTTTTTTGGTACTTATGTTGCAGTAAAATCCTGTATGGGTTCCACAACATCTGAAGAATTAATTTGTTCAGTTTCTGATAATCCCTGATGTTAAACATATATGATAGTTAATACTACATGGAATTACTTCTCTGCATCAGAGAAAAAGAAACACAGACACAGCTCAGTATCATCTATCGCTTTGTCTCCTACAAGTCTGCCTCCATTGTTAAATCATGTTTTTTGAACCTATTTCTCTAATGGCTTAAGTATGATTCAGCAATAATTCCCATAATTTCTGTCTGTGTCATAAACCAACAAGGTTTTTCTCAGCAAGTTTTTCTTCCTGAAAAAGAGGAAATGGATCAATTACTTAAATTTTTGTATGTAGTTTTGCTTTCATAATTTTATATTCATGTCATTCATAATCGTACTCTTTTGCTAGAGAAACAAAACTCACTAATGTTATTGTTCATAAGAAAAGCAATAAGATAACATCTTAAAAAAAAATAATAATTGACTATTTTATAAAATGTATACATTACAATTACCTCTGCAATCTTAGCCCTTTTTTGAGACTGGTATTCCTCCTCTTCCTCTAACAGCTCATCCATCTTTCTTTTATAGCTAAAGTGCAACAACAACAACTAAAAAAGCACTCAGAGCACAGACCTCTGCCAAGATAAATGAAAAACTTAGTCTAATAATTATCCATTAATTAAGTAATTAATTCATGGATCTTAACCAAAATTAAATCACTTTTACCTTAACCATTCATAACTTTTTGAGTAATGCTGGTGACAAACAAACATACAAACAGAGGTGAAAACAATCTCTTTGGTGGAGGATAATAATTTGGTGGATAATAATAATAATAACACTTCAATAATATTGAAAAAATATGTGCTTTATGTACAGTCTCTGTGATTTTTGTGGGACAAAATTTTTTTAATAAATCCAAACCTTCAAAAGTATGTATACATTCATATATTTGATCTGGAACTAATTGTAAATGTACATTAAAAAGTTTTGCACTCATATGTAACATTTTTGCTTTTATTGTGATCTGACACAGCTAAATGTAAAACTTTTGCCTTTTATTGAGATTACAAAAAATCGACAAAGGTGACATTTAAAAATATTACACTCACACTTCACTTTCTGGATTATTTTCCTGGTTTCTACACTTCATCAATTTTTTATGTATGTTCCTCACATCTTCTTTACTTATGGGTTCGATATGTTTCACCATATAACGGATTCCTGGCCAATGAAAAGAAATAATTAGCAAAGCTGCCTGTATTTGCACAGGAAAGTAGAAAAGAATAAACCTTATAAGTGCTTCCATAATTTTTATATGTGAAGTAAATCCATATAATTATCCAGGATGACTTATAAATAAAATTTAACTTTGAAAACTCTTGTAAAACTTATTTAAGTGTGACAGTGAGAAGAAGACTGCAGCTGCACTAGAAAGCTTACAATACTCTTTTACATTTTATGCACACTTTACATAGTCAAGCTTATAATTTCATTTCATTTCAATCTAAGGCATTTTGTCCTCGATATTTAACTTACTTTTAACTTGCTCTATCACTTTGTGCACATGTTCTTGGCTTTCAGACATTAAAAGGGTTTCTGTTACATAGCTGGAGATAAAACAACTCAGGCTAACATTTTTTTTTAACGACATAATAGACAATGCTGTTCCTGAACATCTGGGGCAGATTTCACAAAAGGCTTTAGGCAGAAATTTTTTCTTAGCTTTTTCCTAGCTGAACCAAATTTTTCAACATTTTAGCTAAAAGCAAGGTTTCAGTCTTTATCCCTTTACGAAACTGCCCCCTGAAAACACCTGTGACCAACATACAGGTTAATATAAAGACTGACATTATTCACTTTATTAAAATCACATGAAGACCTATTCCATTATGTAGATTCACAGAAAATAAAGATATATATCCAATGAATCCACTATCAGTAATTGTATGATAAAAAAGACTTTATAGCCAATTAATTATGAAAAAGGAAAGACAAAAGCAACAATAAAATTACAGTAATTACCTGTCTAAATTAATTTTTTGTTCACTTGCGCTTGCAAGTAAAGCAGCCAAAGCAATCTGTAAAATTAAGTTATCATAATTCATCTTCATTTGCATATTGTACAATATAAAATATAAACACAGTCACAAACATTGAAATTTAAATATTTTCAAGGCTGTATCTAACATTTACCTTACCATACCATTAGCACCACAGGGATGCGTCCTTTCCCCTTGTCTTTACTCCCTTTTTACCTATGATTGTACAAGTGTAAGCGACGGGACTTTTCTCATGAAATTTGCGGATGATACTACGCTTGTGGGGCTAGTTACTGATAACGACGAGAGTACATATAGAGAATCTGTTGAGTCGGTGTTAAGCTGGTGCGAGAGTAATGATCTTATCTTGAACGTAGCTAAAACCAAAGAAATGATAGTGGATTTTAGAAGGAATCAGAATGTAAAGGTACCACTCACCATTGGTAATGTTGAAGTTAGTAGAGTAGAGGAATTTAAACTACTTGGTATACACCTTAACAGTAAATTGAACTGGAAAGATAACACCGCAAAGAGTGTAAAGAAGGCACGGCAAAGACTGTATTTTTTAAGATCATTGAGAACTTTTACTGATAGCGTGCCTATTTTAGTCAATTTTTACAGGTGTGTAATTGAAAGCATTCTAGCGTACGGAATTATAATATGGTATAGCGGAACAGCTGGGGAGGAAAGAAAGAAATTAACAAACGTTGTAAAAACTGCAAGCAGGATTATTGGGCACGATCTCCCCAAGCTGGATGATATTTTTAAAGACAGGATGGAGAAAAGAATTGTCAACACCATGAAAGACTCTTTCCATCCTGCAACATCTCTTTTTACTTTTTTACCAAGCAACAGTAGACTTTTAACTTTTAAAGGCAGTAAACGCTTTTTAAACAGCTTTTATCCAAGTGCAGTGACGCATTTTAATTTGATCTCAAAACTAAATTCTTAATTTATTTATTTATTGTATTATTTTATTATTTTACTCTGTATATTGCTCCAAAAGGAAAATGATTTCCGATTTTTATAATTGGCTAAATAAACTCTTATCTTATTTTCAAATATTTTTTTATCAATATGGAATTACAGATATAGTGATTTTATCTACAATGAATCCACTTCATTCAATGATAAAATGGCATGTACTAATTTCTGCCCAAGCTGGCTTGACCACTCATAAAAACTTGTTAAATTAATAAAAAGTTTACTGACATTTAGTGACAGCTAAATGTAGAAGCACAACACTGTGCATTATATGGAATTCTGAACAACTTGATTACAAGAAGGCTAACTTACACACTGAGTAAACATTATCTTACCTGTGATGGAGCAAATATTAGACAGGCATCTGTACTTAAGGAGCGGTCAATAAAGTCAAATGCCCCCTTCCTTAATTTTTCAACATCTTTTGTGGGCATGGCTTGAACAGCTTTGCATCTTGTCTATAATAAATAGGCTAGATAATTAAGTATGTAGCACATTCGACAGATCTTTAATTAGAATTATTATATATTTCATTTATTGATCAATAAACCTCACCAATGTGACTCAACTAGCAGTCTATTATAATTGTTCAAATTTTTCAATTGGCCTAAATTTTCCAAAATAGAATTTGCATCCTATCAACTACAGTATTTCAAAGAATCCTGTTTTAATTGGTATGATGCCACATCTGCTTGTCAATGGTATAATCCAAAATAGCCCGGCCAAAGCCTCGTCTTAGCGTAAAACCAACGGAGGATTTGTTAGATATAATGGCATAATACAGTACAAAGTGCCGTGCAGCAAAAAGTAAAAGCTGACAGAATTTTTCCCCAAATATTTTTCTTGTTTTCTTTAAGTTAGTCTAATGCACAACAGAATGAATTCACCAGGTTTTGCATGTCACCTTTGTATTGCTTCCAAAGAAAAAATCTTGGTACATACAGTTTCACCCTTATAGCTTAAAAGCTAACCCCACCTCACATGCCGAGGTTCTCATTCTAGGCTGACTCAGATGATTCAGACCAATAGCAAAACAATAGAGACTGACATATCTACTCTCCTTGCCTCACCTTCACATCAATAATCAAGCCTTCCAATGCTCTGAATGGATTGTGTATTGTCATGTGGTAATGCAGCTCCTTCATTAGTAAAAGTTCAAAACAGAGGACAATGTCAGCATTTTTATCAGGGTCTCCTTTTATGTTAGATACAAAGGTTCTGAGAGAAACATGGTTTTCTTCTACTTTGGTTGACAAATATACACAGGTAAGCCTGGAATATAACCAACAACCATAAAATACCAACACCTGTGAAAGGAGGGTAAATTAATACAAAAGTTTCCACTGTATGGATTTAATTCATTCTACAAGGGTGTAAGATTTTCAAATAATATTTAACAGTAAACAAGTGCAAGTGGCTTTTACACTTTAATTAGTCTAGAAGAAAGGTGAGATGGATTGTGAGAAAGGCAGTATGAGTTTCCCCATCAGGGTATACATACATTATATCCTTTGGGTGATAATCCATTACTGACTTATTGAGAAAAAACCTTTTCATATAGTTAATAGCTGTTCCCTGAAAAAAAAAAAAACAATAAAGATCTTCTTTAAAAGAGTTATGTTCTGTTAGTCTTATACATGCAATATTTTCTACTACTACTGCATTTACTAATATGAACAGAAAACAGTTACTCAAAATGTTTTAATTTCTAAAAATTATTGTTTATCACTCAAAAATGCATGTGAACATTATTTTCTCAAATGCATACAACAACTTCTCTTGGCAACCCAATAACTTTATTTTCATGTGGTCCAGAATCTTGGAAGCGTGCACAGAATTCTTTGAGAGCATATTCATAGTGACGAAGTAAAATCCTTTCTTCCTTTAAGTCTAAAAAACTTGTGCCATCGTCTTTATTCTGAAAATAGACAAATAGAGAATACATACCAAAATCTCGTACGTCCATCAACATACATTTAAATCCATGCATGGTCCCCTTTCTATTTTTACCTAGAGACCTATGTTATATCTGTTTCATAAGGTGTCAGAATATACTGAGTAACATGGACTGTATAAAACCATTTTTTATTTATTATCAGCATGATAATTGATTTAGGGTCCTAGTCATTGCACCCTGAGCTTCAGAGATAACTTGCCACTAACCTCTTCACTATAGCCTACTGTCATGCCTATAATTCACGCGACAACTAATTGATCATTTTCTGACATCTGTATGCGTACATGGTGACGAGATAATTATAGGGCAAAACACAATAGCAATGAAAATGAGAAGACGTCAAGCCCGCCCTATGTTCGCTAATATGCAAATCAACCCCGCTTGTCCATCGGTGGCGGCTTGTCACCCTGTTTATGCTCGACGGGGAGTTAATTGCCGCTTGCTGTAAGCCNGGGGGGGGGCGTTGAAATAAATTACAAAAAAAATATTTGCCCAAATTTGCCCAAAAATCTGAAATGTTGGTTAGAAACCTTAGTCCTTGTTCTTCTACATGGCATATATTTTGTCTTGCCGCCCTTTGCCGACTTCAAAAAATAAATCAGTTTAAAAGTTTGCCCTTAAAAATTTTCACTTCTGACCTCTCGTAGATCGCGAAAACAATACCCAAAAGGAAGTAACAGCTGTTCTCTATCACGTGTTAAGGTAGGGTTGTTCCCGATGCAGTAGTTGAGACACGCCGTGCATTGTAAGAGCGGGTTGAAATCTGATACTCTGGGGACAGTTTTAATGGCGCTTCGCGAAATAGAACAACTAACGCCACCTAGGGACGTCTGCGCTCGCTAGAATAGGTAGATAAGTTGTATTATCAGATGTATTACACCAGAGATTCTTTTGTATCATGTAATAATATTAGCAGGAGAGCAGATTGGATGTTTGATTCTTTTCACATCATATGGTATACCAGTAGTCGCTTTAAAACCATGATATTGGAACAGAGGATACAGATAAAGGTGTAAAATCCTCTTCCACACAATTTTTTTTCGGTTATGAAAAATTATTTGAGCACATCTGTCACATCAGAAGTAGTTGAAGAAATATTAGATAAGTAGGAAAATGCCTATTGTTAAAAGCAATGTTCCTTAATTGCTTAAGACCATATGGTACGTCGGTATTAAAACTCTACTTTTTCATCACTGTTACATGAAAATATAGAAGACAAATATCTATTTAATATCACTTTGTGTATATTGTGTTCTTCCTAATTATCCAATATTTTCTTATTCAGGCCTGATTACAGTCGAGGAGGATATAACCAACACCGCGGAGGGAGAGGGCATCACTCAGATTATAGGCAAAGAGACAGGTATCATCCATATAGTGACAGACATGGACAGAATTATCATCATTATCATGATCACAGGCAAGGACAAGACAGACATTTTCATGAAGGGAGACGAGATCAACAAAGATACAACAGTTATAATGATAGGCCAGGCCAGAGACCTTACAACCAAAATAGAGGTGGACATTGGACTTGAAGTCAGTCTGTTTTGAAAGAAAGCATACAAGATAATGTTCAATCAGTTTGAGGAAATTCAATTATTGTAATTGGTGTCATTTATTTATCATTATCTTGCAACCTTTTCAGCACTCTTCCAATGTGTTGAAATTGAAATGTAAAACCAAACTGATATACCAAACTGTTATATTTTCTCTGAATTAATTGATTTATATTTCTTTCTGTACTTTCCAAATTAAAAAGTTTACTGCAAATCTGTAAGGGATGTGATGAAATATATAAAAGGTTTATATATATCTTTAAATTTGACATTATTTGGGCCAAAGTTAATTTTATTCTAATCATTGTAGAGGATGATAAATCTACAAGTAACTTAAAAGTTTGCATATTTTCTTCACATAAAAGTGTATCATGCTTCTTGGATTAAAAGAATGAAGCAAATTAAGAATTATGCAAAATGAAAATGTAAGAGAAACATGTTCCATGTCTATTTATGTCCATTTATGAGACTTCTAAAAGTAATGCTGTAATTCATAGCAGAAGTAAAATTAAAAACCAACTTATCTAGTTCATATTGACTGAAAGTAAAATAAAGATAAAATCACTAATGAATACCGACTCATATTAAAACTTAAAGAAAAAATATGTCTTCTAGGTTCTTATAAACAGGAAGCTTCTGCACCTATTTGGTTCTTTGCCCACAGCAAGTTTAAACCTTCCATATTTCATAAAGGCAGTATCTGATGAAACAGTTAAGTAAGACAAATTTTAAATTGAATGTTAAGTTGCACATGTTTGACAATATATTCAATCTTCAATACAAATTAATTTACAGAAAAGTTTACATCACAGAACAATGTGATTGTTAATTTTGTAATGTCTTACTTGACTTGATTAATTTGAATGAATCCATTACATATGCATGCATCTATCATGCATGCAAGTACTTGCCTTAAGGGAAAGTAAAGGATACGTTTCACGAAAAGATGGCACGTAAGCATCTCTACGCTTAAACTGTCCACCAAGCTTGATAATATCTTCATCGACTAGCGGATAGTAATCCACAGCACTCTTACTGTTGCCCTAAAGATAATGGGAAATGCCTTGAACTTTGAGCAACTAAATTTATCAGTTTTCTACAGCTGTCCACTTATTGGTACTAATTTCCTAAAAATAAACTAAATGACAGTTGTTATGTACAATGTCATGATATTACTTTATCATTTCACTAAAATCTCTATTAAATAAAAATTGCAATCAACTGCTCATTATACAAAACAATTATCTTACTGAAACCTACATTATATTATTTGAATAAAACCTAATATCCAATTTTTACCCTAAAAAAAAAAAAAATATATATATATATATATATATATATATATATATATATATCAAAAAACAATAAAAACAAAAATCTGTATTTTTCTACATTGGTCCTTATGAAATTATTTCAAAAATACCCTCATGAAATGCATAAACTGAAGTCAAGATCATTACCCTGAAAAGTCTGAATTTAATTAATTTCTTAAAATTAATTGACACAGCTTGTCAATATGTTGAGATCATGTGAAGTAAAATGTAATACCCACCCTTGCCAGAACCTTTCCTTGCGGTTTAAGCAGCTGCAGAGCCAGCTCCATCACCAAGTGGGTGGTCTTGAAATCATAGGCAAATCCTGGAAATATGAATGTCAAACAGCAATTCATCAATTCAATCAATTTAGAATTAGAAAGCAAGTTTACATATCATAATTTTCTCAATGGCTTTGGATAAGTTTTTTAAAAGGTTTTATGCAGTGGTTTTCATGGATTTGGGGTGCAGAAAGTCCAAAATGTGACTCTGTAATTAGGTCGTCCATTTTCAGGTAGTCCAACCCAAGCAAGCCCAACCAACCGAAAAACTTATAAGCTGTCCAGCTGTCTTTGGAAAAATAGGCCGTCTTTTGTGGCTAATGGCTGTCCAAATGATGACTGGATTGCTCTCTGGGGAAAGCCTTGGTATGATGTGCATTGTATACTTCGAACTTTTTGTGTGAAATTGGCCCCAAGATAAATCCTTACTATGCTCACCATAGTTTTCTTTATCTACCGGAAATTCTGTCAAGTCATTGATAACAAAGTCGTACTTCTTGCCCTGCTCTAGGTCCTCCTTCATAACCTTGATACAGTCTTCAATGATGATCTACAAACATTAAAGAGCATGTTGTACTGAAGCTTAATGCTCCATTTCCCCGAAAGGAAAAAATTGGTGAATTGGCAATAAAAAACATGAAAAAATTTTTTTTATGAAAATGAACAATGGTGGATAACTAGGAACCAACATTTTTTTTTTGTTTTTTGACAATATGCCTATGTTAAAATTCACTTTTCTCAAGTCATTTGCAACCACTGCAATTAACTACCCACTTTTTATCTTGGTAAATAACAGTGTACAGATGTGAAAACACTGCACTCACTGTTGCAATATCTTTATCTTTTCAGACCCTTGCTACAGATTAAGCATCACAGCATTTGATAGATAAATAGAAATATAGATAGCTCACAAACTTCGCTCTTCAAGTTTACCAGAGTGGTTGAGAATATCATATGAGAATTACCTTATAGTTATTCCCTTCAAATTTATCCATGCTGTCTCCACAAACACTTCTCATGTGAACACGGCAAGCTTTGATGACTTCTTCATCAATCTGATATATAAAAAGTGTACATTATATTATCTAATATTATATTAGTTAATTCCTTTATGTTACTGCTGTATAAATTAACCAAGGCAGTGTAAAATTTCAATACCAATGACAATGTTTTGTCATTTGTTTGTGGATTGACTGGTAATGACAATCAACCATACTGATTTACTCAAAATTAAATATTTAGAAATATTTTTAGAATAAAGAGGCTGTGGGTGACAAACTTTTAGTGCTCTGTATGCTTAGTTTAAGTAATTAAGCTTATCAGTAAGAAACTTTGGTCCATTTACTTCTGCCATGGTAACAAATTTTGGGTTCTCCTTCAACAATTCGTGCAAGATGCCTCCATCCCCTCCACCAAGGATCAGAACCTCCTTGCCTTCGTAGTTCTCACGCTTAGGGTTCCCCAGTCCAAGTAATGTTTGTGTGTAGATTAGGTCACTCTCACCAAGCACTAAAATACACAATATATGTTTATCAGTGGACTGCAAAAAATCTTAGCATCCTATTTTCAGAACTCACTGAACCCATAACTACTCCAGCAGTTTTAGCCAAAAAATGACCATTTTTTAACTTCACTTGGCTGGTCAGGTGCACATTACTATACATTCTTCATATTTTCACTTATTATGTAAGTTTATGCTGTCTAAACAATTATTTTAAAGTTTAACTTTTTTTTTTTTTTGGTTCTGTCCCTAAAAATTAACAGTTTAGACATTCTAAGAAAGTTAACCAACTTTTCTTCATCCATACATAACATACAGTATTGTTTCTCTTTAGGACATAATTATCTTAATGGCTCAAGTGGTGTAAAAAATTTTGACATCTTAGTTTCTACATGTATTATATTACTGTATAGTAAACCTCCAGTAGTTTTCAAAACAATTAAAATTCATAAGACACCCTTGTATTTTAAAAACATTGTAGCAAGTTTTTATACATATTTTTTCACACTGTAGCAAATGTTTACAAGCTTTATGTCAACTTACTGATATCATCATCAAGCAACAAAACATTCCCAAGCTCTCTGGAGTGCATGATCTTGATGTTCTGCCATGGAGAGTTGGTCTCAAAGGACACTTTATCATAGTCTGGCTCCATCAGCCTCTCATCTGCTGTGATGCCATAGGTCCAAACCTGACCACCACGTCGAATGGGAGCAAAAAGACTGAAATATATCTTTATGTGTCAAATACATAGTGACCACAAATTACCAAGGGGTTACTCTTTTAGAATTTTTTTGCGTAGATTTTTTTTTTGCGGGTCCAACATGAAGTACAATAAAGTATGCAATAAGTTCAGGAAAGTGCTTTAGGTATTATATACAATAGCTTTTTAAAGTTTACATATAAAATACATTGCTGAAATGAAAGAAATTATGTATATTGTTTTTGATATATATATATATATATATATATATATATATATATATATATATATATATATAAAGTTCAATTTGATGGTCAGTTGTCTGTGACTTGTACCCAATTTTAACTTCAATTATTATTAACTCATAAAAAGATCTGTAACCTATATATAGAATAAATACTCGAACACCCTTGAAACACCTAAAGGAATTTGTAATCTTCATACTTTAAAACCAAGATTAATCATTCCAGGGGCGGATTTAGGCCATCTTCTGGGTCTTCCGGAAGACGGTCAGATTTTCAAGTTTACATTGACGGGTATCTAATGTTTTCTGTCGGAAGACGGGCAAAATGGAGGATGGATCAACAAAGACTGTCAGAAAATATCTCTGGATCCGCCCCTGCATTTACACACCTGTTTGCATTTTCCACTGCTGAACCAAAAAGGTCTTCAATGTTCTTTTTCAATTTTTTGATAGCCTGGACAGAAACATATCATTTTAATATTCAAAAAAGGTTTCAGAACCACCTGACAGATAAAAATATTTGATGTCAATAACCTTAGTGTACATAGACAATTTTTATAAAGGTCTAAAAACTTCAAGTCATTAAAAAATTATACAGTATAACACAGGAAAAAGAGACATGCCACTACTTGCCAATGCACACCAAGATATAAAAAACATACACCCATGCATGTGTACTATATATGTTGTGTCTACACACATAACATATGTCTGTTGGGTTGTCATTACCTCCATGTCATATTTGCCATTGTTCCATTCGTACTCCTCTCCCTCTCCAAAGTGCTGGACATCAAAGGTAACGAGTCCAGTCATATAAGTTCTCAAAACAGCATGACTGAAAATTGATAATTTCACCATACACAGAAATAATAAATACTGGGAGCAAAACTTTCAATGAATTAATTACTGGTAATTTTTGGTTGGAAATTTTTGCACCTCCTCTTGAATTAAATTACAAGTTAATTGTTTGAATGAAGGGCTCCTTCGCTGAAAGGAACCATTTTCACCTTCCAGAAGTCCCAGTAAAGATGAACAGCTTGTCTTTAGCAACCTCCAACTGTCTGGGTTCTGAGGACAGTTCCCCCAAAGCCAGTTCCCCAGCTTTCTTCAGTCTAGACTGAAACTCTATATTAAAGAGAAATAATTACCAATAATCAATTAATTGTAATATAAAAGAAAAGAAATTTGATTTTTCATGAGAAAGTAACACTGATAATACATTTTAGGGGGAAAAAGAAATGAAAATAGGACATAAAGAAAAAAAATTGTGTGTGACACATTTATGTGATTTATTTTTAGTGATGGTGAGCTGAATGATGCAGCATACTGTACAATGAGTCGTACCAGTATCCATTAGTATCTACCTCCTTGGTGGGAAGCACACAGAACAGCTGACATGTACGTGTACGTGAAATAACTCATCTAAAGCTACCAGTAAAATCCTATGTTTGAATATATGGTCCACTATTTAAAGTCCACTTAAAATACTCACTAATTAAAATACTGTATTACTGTTAGTATCTGATCATTTAATAAATAAAATGTTCGGCAGTGAAGTTTTAATCAAGTTAATATATTAATAATTTAACAAAATAATTGATGCATTCAGCATCATTGCCGCTGTGTGACCTCAATGTTACCTGCGCCTTATCACAAAAATTCATGCACTAACGTTTTCTGATATCCAATGTTCAGATGCTACCACATACAGAATTTATCTGAAAAACGTGTCAACGCTACCTGGGCCGCTAACGTAGCTGGGAGCTACTTTGAAACACATCATGATCGTGTTTGCCGTCATGGTTAGGTATCAGGTGCCGCTGACGCTGTCTCTCTCGTGCTGCTTTCTGACTTTAAGCGCTGAGAAATTCATGCGGCAAAGAAAAATCGGCAGTCGCAGCAAATATGCTACTTTGATAGATCTATTTGGTCTACGAGGTTTCAGAACCTGTCTGCTCAGTCCAGAGTTCAACGTGGGGTTGATAATAAAACTGGGAACAATTTGCTTGTCTGGTTTCTGGAACGACACCCGCAGCTTAAACCCGCTCGCTTCACTAGCAGAGAGAGAGATAGAGAAAGACGGGAAAGAGTAGTTAGATGTCTGGGTGCTCTTCCGTGACAGAAAAAGAAAGGGAAAAAAACGGGTGAAATGGAAATTTCAGACAAAATTGATAAATTGGAATCTCTGTAAACAGGTCGGGAGACGAAATTTATTTTATTTATTTATTTATTTATTTATTTATGGCATAGCAGCTAAATTTTAGGGTCGGTCGGTGTTTTACGTTTTAAGGAGGGGGGGGGGGGGGCAAGGAGGCGCCCCTCAAGTATGAAAGCAATTAACAACATTAAATAATCCACCCTACCGAACCAATGTCAAATGCATTATTTTCATTCGAAAATATGATATTTCTACGTGTTGCAAAAGACTGATTTCCTTATATTTGGGATTGGTCGCGCTCGTTCACCTTCTTATTAATTACTTTACTACAAAAATTCGGAGTAGAGGAGGCTTGCTGATATTGCGTACCTATTAAAAGCTGGAAAGACTTTAACTCAATGTGTTTTCACGAGGAAAGGTTCAACATTTTTAAAGGAGCATGTTAAAGGGTTTGTCAGTTTGATTCGATTATCCGTTCCGTTTTCCTGGTAGGGCTGTAAGTATAACAGTACAAAGACGCGCAAGCAATCTTGCCAATCTTCTGGATCTTTCCGATCTTTGTAATGGTGCATGATATTAAGTAAATCGATATATGTGTTTTAGGTATACAATTTATTGTTTGCCTTCACGGATGTCAACCTGAAGACTATATAATATATTGGTTAGATGGGCATGCACCTTTTTTCCGAAAACAACACCAGAAAGAACTGTTTCTACTAAAGAAACCCACTTAACCTGGTAAGCAAAACGACGTACTTTTATTTCAAACTGCCATTTTTTTTTTTTTTTTTTTTTTTTTTTTTTTTTTTTTTTTTTTTTTTAGCATGAACAGTCAGAAGGGCAGATGACACTTGCGGATTTTATTTATTTATTTTTTATTATTTTATTTATTATAATTTTTTTTTTGTGAAACTGGACCCGGATGGTTTCAGCACGTCCAAAGTTTCATGAAGTTTGGTGAAAGCCGAGTGCTAGGAGGCGACGTCAAAATATAATACTTTTCCCCTTTATCTTCCACTATAGGCTGCGGATCCACAATAAACATTGCACCTCATCAATACTACCTTACAGCCATAGATAGTATTGAAGATTACCAACAAGGCCGGAATGATTTCTTTTACACTTTGCCAGGTCCTGGTGTGTTTCACTTTGGGT